TGGCGGAGATCATGATCGAGAGGGTGGCAGAGATGGTGATAGAGAGGGGGGTCACCCACATTTTTGGCGTGATAAGACATTGGAGTCATTGTGGTTGTCTATGGAGGGGTGGCCCCGACGGGAGGGACGGAGGAGGTGGCGACTGAGAGGGAGGCCCCGACGGGAGGGGCGGAGGTGGTGGTGACGGAGGAGGTGGCCCCGGACGTCGAGAGGACGCCCGGCGTGATTGAGGGTAAGAGACATGCTGTTAACGAGACGAAGCAGGTGGTCGGCAAGAGGTTGAGAGTGCCATCACAGTATGTTGTTTCCCCCTTCACGGCTGAGGCCAAGAGGACGACATTCATCGATGGGATGCACCCTGACTTATTCAGGGAGGTGGACAATGCCAAGTGAAAAGTGTTCGAGACAGAGTGGCGAAAAAGTATCCCCGGGAAAGTATTGTATGATTTTAATAAAGCAATGTACGCTAACTCGTCTACGCTTATTTTAACATTTTCCTGTTTTTTACAGAATTAGCCGCACGATAGGTCAAAGGACGGTCTCGGACCCTTACAAGTAGTTCTACGATATCACCACTGCGAGAGCTTGGCTCGCCGACGATGTAAGTGAACTATTCATTTCGTATATTTTATGTATACGTCACTTTGTGTTTATTAAATGAATAACTCATACTTTTTTGGTGTTTCCTGCTGCAGCACATCGACTTGGCCATGCACTTGCTGCGAGATCGAGCTCAAAGACATCCAAAATCATTTGATATTCATTGTCGAGTCATATTAAACACCGAGTTCTTGCGTGCCGTTACCATAGAGTATCAGTCGCTCGAACTTATAGGTAACGAGTACACGGTGTCAGAATATATGCTCGAGTGGGTGATAGGACTATCACCAAGTGTCGAGGGAAAATCATGGGAGGGTTGTACACATGTGCATTCTAGCGTGCATCAATAAACACTATGTTACGCTGGAGATCGTTTTTGCTTACTTGATTATATATGTGTACGACCCTGATCATTCATGCTTGACACAAGGCTAGTTGGAGCAAAACCTGGAGTCCGTGGTTGTAATTATTCCTATGATGGCCGGTATGATGGCCGGACGAGCAGGGATAAATGTACAGGACAAATTGCGGATTGTTCGAAACACGACGACAGCGCGACAGTCCATAAGGTAAGTGTTTGAACTTTGTTGTTTTTATCTTTCAGATTTAGTTTTTACTTACACAGTATTGAATTGATTCATTCTTGTTCAATTGCAGCGGCAACTGCGGCATATTTGCCATTAAGTATGTTAAATTTTTAAGTATAGGGCATAAGGTTGATGGAATCAACCAGTCGTGGATACAAAACTGGAGAAAGAAGTTAGCATGTGATTTGTTCGAATTTAATACTGACCCGTAAATTTGTATTAAATATATGTAACATTTCAATTGTAAATTTAATTATTTTTTGTGATTATGAAATAATTGTAAATTTGTGTTCAATATATATAACATTCACATTGGAAATTTAATTATATTTTTTGTTTTGTTATTTTACACGTAGGTCGAGTATAGAACTATTTTTTTTATATGAATCATTATAAATACCATTTATCAAAAATAAATATTGAACATCGAAAATTTATAAAGAACAAATATTGAACAGTGTAAAGTAAAAGGAAATATTATTCATTTAACGTACCTGTCTAATCGTCATTTAGGGGAATTTGACTGGTACAAAATTGTCGAGTATGCCTTACGGCTCTGCACCTGCCACACCCACGCGGTCGAGGAAACTCTCTGGTAGATGGTATTCTAAATGTACTTGGACGTCCATGAACCACGCGGTTCAACTGCTGGTGGCAATACATTATGAAATGGGAGAATGTGCTCGGGAACTTCCCACTCGGCTTCATTCGGCAGAGGAAATATAGTCTCAGCATATGCTGTTCTCCAAAACTCAGTCGTATAATACAAAGAGCATAATGTTCTCGCAGCAAAGCCTCGATACATGGCCACCGCAACCGCATGCTCACATGGAAAACTCTCCAACTGAAATATCGTACAAGTACATGTGTTATCATCAAGTCCACCATATATGCCGTTTTACGTGCACATTGCACGGAGAAGCGAAACTCATCTAGTGCTTCCACATTCAACTTCCTCGCAACCTTTGCCGCCTTAAACAGTTTCTCCTCTTGAGTTGGGGCCAACACGCTAGTGCAATTCTGTGATGCCGCACGTCGGTCATGAAACCACTGTTGTAGCTTGTTACGAATGTTCTCAATCATTGCGAGAATTGGTAACTCTCGATCCTTCTTAAACAATGTATTGAGAGACTCCGTGTTATTCGACGTTATCATGTTGTATCAACGTCCTGGAAAGTATGACCGCGCCCAATGTTCGATCCCCATCTTCGTCAAATATTCCAACGCCGGTAATGATTTACTTCCTATCTCGAGCATGAACTTATTACACTCTTCAGCACTGTAAGCTTCGACTGCTCTCCTAAACAATGAAACGATGCCTGTGCCCCGATATCTAGTCTTCAAATTACCTTGTATATGGTACATGCAATACCCGTGATGTGCCTCGGAAAAAACTTCAGCGATACCGTTTATTATAGACTGTCCCCGATCGGTTACAAAAGCAAGGTCTTCGACTTCCCCGATCACTTCCCTCAGTTTAGAAAAGAACCAACGCATGGACAGATCATTCTCGCTGTCGATTATGCCGAATGCAATAGGGTACATTTGGATGTTGGCGTCTTGACATGTAGCAATAATTAATTTGCCTTGATATTTAGCTTTCAGAGTTGTATCATCAACTAGAATTACGTGTCGCATTGCATTTCGAAAACCCCGAATACATTGTCCGAGAGTCATGAATAAATACTTAAAACAATTATCGCCCCCCGTCTCAATAAAAAATGCCGTGCGAGGATTAGTTGTCCCCATGTTATGGCAATACCTAGCCAATTTAGCATAGCTCTCTTCAGCCAATCCCATTAAATCCTCCAACGCACATTCTTTGGCCTTCCAGGCTTTCTGATAGCTCATGACCACTCCATACTCTCGACAGACGTCGTTAATGATATCCGAAGGTCTGTAGATCGTCCGTGGGTCCTGATACTTGTGCATTATCTGTCGACCAATAAACCATGCTCGAGCTTACCTGTGATCGTTTCGAAGAATCCCCACTTCGCAAGTATGTTCCCGTGAATACTTGCAAATTACGAAGCACTCATTCGTGTCCATTTTAGTTGCTCTCAAGTGCCAATTGCAACTGTCTTCGATGCAGGCAACTGTCAACAATGACTTGTTTGATTTCTTTACCTTGAACTCAAAGTTATATTTTAATGTCAGCCGGTGCACAGTTTCCTGCAAATCTTTTTTGGTTTCAAACAGTTGCTCGACCTGCAAGTCCTCATCATCGGAAGCCACACGGGAAGAATTGGAGGACGGTCCACTTGTTCCAACCTGTGAGCTCCCACCCACCTCATGTCTCTGTCGGGATAAAGCAATCAAATTCTCATTTGTAAACTCATTTATATTCTCATTGTCTTCAACTGTCGACGAAATTCTATGCGTAACAGCGACATCACGATCAGGAGCAACTGTTTTAGGAATAACTACATCATCCGCAGGAACTATCTCCACTGTCTCCCAAAAACCTTGGTCATTATTATCCGCCCTATTTGAATCTTCGCGTTCACTTTCGATAACATCCTTCTTAACTAAAGTCACACCAAGAGCAGTCGGAGTCCGATGCATTTTATTCAATTCTAATAGATAATTCAATTCAGCATCATTAGTAACGACTACCGGTGGAATTGGAATGGATGAACCTCCATAACTGTTGAATAGATATCTCAATTGCATATCGTATTAAGATTGATCGACATTCAACTTATTTTGTAAATCGTTGTACATTTCTAAGTATGATGTACTATCTGTTATGGGAATCGCAATACAACCACAACTGACACTCGTCCATCTTCATTCCCACCGATTATTTTCATTCAATTCGAAATCACCGAAATAACAAACGGGGATTATCATATCTACATAAAGAAATAGATTTAATCAACTTCATTTATTCATTATAAGAAAAAATCAGTGCCAACAAAAATCAGTGTAGAGTCGGTGTTAATTGGCTGTTTAACAGCCGAACAGTTGGCTGTTCAGCTATTTTTGCGCAGGAATTCTTCTACGGTTCTAAAGAAAAATATTATACATCTGTTCAATTTTTTTTTTATAGGTAAGATCTGTTAAAAAAAATTTATTCTAACTACTATGTCGACATAAAATTTCTCTATTCAAACGTATACTAATTTACTGAAAATGAAATTAAACATTCGTAAATGTACTTACCGATTCGAAGTAATTGATATGAAAAAAATTTCCGATTTCAACGTTTCAAAGTTTTTCTAGATTTTGAGGTTCAAGCAGATGAAAAGATGAAAGTTTTTCTGTGTTGGAAGCTTGTTTTGAAGTTTTTATAAGTGGGAAAGTGTTTGGTTTTCAATTATTAACTAAAATGGTAGTAAAGTCCTTTCAACAATATATTGTTTTGTAATTGTACAAAACATTTAAGAGCAGCTTTGTCTTTTACCATATAAGAGGCCAATGTCATAATATTCATGATTTTGAAAGTCAAGGTGGAATTGAGGTCTTTTGACTGGATCAAACTTAAAAATACCCACTACAATATATGATTATTCCAACTAAGTTAGCTGGAACACGTATCTATACATCAATAGTTTTTAAATCCTATCTTGGGTTGTTCACAATCATAAAATATTGCAGCCATTTCAAATTACGATTTTGCTAGTGGTACATCGAGGTGTACCTAATGGTGTACACCCCCTCACATAGACGAGAGACCCACTTGAATAAAATATCATTTCTTTCACATGAATCCTACACCCATGTGAGTGGGATGTACACTATTCGATACACCCCATTATGTACCACTAGACGAATTCTTCAAATTTATAGTAACATGTAAATGATTGTATGTTATCCAAACAAATTTTCCATTGTATTTATAAGATAAAATGGCTTTGATACAATTTTGGTAAATCTACGTACTTTTGGTAGACTTCAAAAATAATCGAAAACCATGGGGACTTCACAAAAGACTTGTAGTCGACAGAGGCACGATTATTCGTCATCTAGGGACAAGGGTGTGCGGAAAAAAAATTTCATCCGAAGAAGATATTAAGATTTGGAATAAGCTAAAACGGACCATGGTTTTTAATTTGTGTATAAATAAATTATAAAAACAAAAATTCGACTGACAGCCCAGAATTATACGTAGGTAAACAGCTACGCCATGTTTGATGGAAAAGCCAATGCAACGATTTCTTGGCTGCACAAAGAAAGTAAAAAACTTGTGATAAACAGAAGTACGACAAACTCGTAAAAACTAATGTCTGAAAGTAACATTTCTGTATATAAGGTGTTCTGCGTTCAACTTTACACCAATTTATGAAGACTGAACTTAAAGATTTTTCAATCAATCCAACTTTTACAAGGAAAATTTGTACGAAATTTTAAAAATAAAAATAAAAATAAAAATAAATTGTAATTCTGTTGGTAACCCGATCGTTAAGGAATAATGTTATTTTACAGGGAAAAAAGGGAAAATTATAGTCTCCTTTAGACACTTCTGATCTGGCACTGGTGCCCTACGGATATATGGTTCATGATGTGATGGCTTACTAAATCATACAAGAAAAAATTTCATGCCACGAGTTAGTAGAACTTAACCCGGGAATACTACATTTCACGTGCAACGAGCAGTACGAAGTGAATGATTCAGGAACCATGCCAAATAAAAAATAAAAAAATAAAATGTCAAATGAGAACATAAAACATGCTAATTCAGTTCAAACAAGTGATCTTTCCAATTTTATGGGAAGTACACACACAGAAAAAGTTTGAATCCCAGTTCTATTTTCACAGGTTGATTCTACGACATGGACAGTTCAAATTCACCAACATATTTTCATGTTATTGAGAGCTAGTCAACAACCAGATATGAAATAGAACATACCTTGATCACTCCACAGAAATTCCAGACGAGATGCAAAGTTTTGAGTCCACACCACCACTTATCACGCTGTCATCTTTCCACCAGTCAGCACACAACACCTATGTTGAAAACGCCAGATTATTGAAGTAACTATTTTTACAATTGAGTTAATACTTAAGGGGCATGTTTGGCAAGCAGTACTAAATATGACTGGACAATACACTAGACTATTTCATCATCTTTTTCTTTCTTAATATTATCTAGTTCAATCCACCTCACCAAACATGCCAAAAGTGAAAACATTGGATAGTAGTACCTTATTCTTATGCGACTCAATCACATGCAGTGGAAACTGCAAAAGAGAGCACACAATTCAGACAAATATTTTGTTAAGGCACATAGAGGATAAATTCAAAGGAATGATAGAATTGGATACCGCAGCTCTCAGATCCCATATCATAACTTTTCCATCGTATGATGCAGAGACCAAGTGAAACCATGATTTATTGTGCCATTTGCAAGAAGAAATCCATGAATTATGTCCCGAAAATTGAAAGATAGGATCATATTTCCCTGCACGAACAAATTCATGCAAGGCAAAAAACATATCAGTAATTGGGGATCTAATTGTACAAAGTGCAAACAAGGAAATGGTAGCATGCACACATACTTGCACGTATATAAACACATGCATGCGTCCAGAGAGAGGGAGACCTGGTTTGCGAGGATCCCATATCCGAATTATAGGGTCAGAACCTCCAGCTGCAATGAGGGCAGAACTTTCACCTCCAATATCCAGACAATTGATAGCCTTCCCACAGAACTGAGAGAAGAGTGAATATAAAGGCTGTTAACTTCTATTTTCAATTATAATGATTTCATTTAGAATTTCGAGGTCTAGAATTATAATAGCATGCCAGCAAAGGAAGCCTGTGCTATTCTCATGTGGAAGCACCTGATAAATATGGAAAATAACAATGCCAGATATGATATTGAACACTTTTGGTGTAAAACAGCTGCTAAAAATTAGGAATTTAAGTCTGAGTCAAGTTACACAGGTTGCTGCAACAAAATGTTCAAATCATTTTACAGATAAAGGCAAAGCCATAGTGAAAAGTGATATCTCTGCCAATGATTTAAAAAAAAAAAATAATAATAATAAATAAATAAATAAATAAAACACTAATGATTTCTTTTGTTGCAGGAGATGGTGAGGATTTGGTCTCCATTCCAGAGAGGGTCGGGAATTTATTACTAGCTCTACTAGAGGTTGGTGTGGATTGCTTCACTGAACAAATTTACTTAGAGACCGGTCAAAGAAAGCCTGAACTCAGCGGCTTTGACAAGAAACCTGGACCAGTTTTTGTGGTTTCGAAAGGAATCTAGAATTGCTTTACAAGGTTCAAACTAGTGCCCATTGAATTTGATCTATGTCAGCTCACCTCTTATAATGTAATGCCGCCTAAATATTATCATCTATATGATTCAAAGAGTTCAAATAAGCAAACTAATCATTAATACCTTTGGGGAATAGAAATATGGCATACTGGCACGTGATATATATGAACTTGATAAAGTGCATTTCTTAAATAATGTACAACTTGAATGGAAAGGAGTGCCTACAAATGATTTTGACAAATTGTTTTAGATAAATGACACACAGAGGAAAGAAATGAGATGTAAATGAAATATATTTCAAGAACTAAAAAGAATGTACTTCCTCCACCCCATTTATATAGGCTGATTTTGTTTTTCATACAGATTAACAAAATTTATTTAATATTATTGAAAAGGCAATTTTTACGAAGAATTTTTCTAGTTTACCCTTATCTAATTAACAAAAGTAGGAAATGTGTTTTTGTCCATGTTTCCAAGAAGAAGTGGGAAATGTGTGTATGTATTTGGATAAAAAAAAGTAAATTAAAATCTGTACAATTTCAAGAATAAGTGGGAGGAATTTGTTATAACTAGGCAAATTAAATAAAGGGATATTAGTTAATGAAGAAAACAAATACTTTCTAAATAAAGAAACGAGACTATATAAATGGAACAAGAAAATAAGGAAAGTCAACCTATACATATGGGATGGAGGGAGTAATTATATAGTAGCCAAAAGTATGAAAAAGGAAAACATCAGTTATATCTTTAATTTAATTAAAATGTACAGGGAACAAGAATTTTTTATTTTAATTATTATGCTCATTTACTTTATAAAATCCATTATTTTTAAACTTAAAACAAAACTTAAATTTTAAACTTACTATATGTTTTGTTCCCCACATTTCTGTTTAAAAGATACTTTTGATTTAGACCTCCAACCCGACTATGTCCCAGTAATTAGACCACAGTCCCAGTGGGTGAATCGGTGTCCTACTCACCCAGTGCTTTATCCAGCTTAATGATCTAGTCAGGTTTAACAATGCTCTACATGATTGTTGTATACATCAAGTCACCCCTTTTATCATTTATTTACTCAAATCTGGGTTTATGGAAACAATAAAAACACTCGCTCACTTCGTGCCATGTACAAGTAAATTTTGTTTTCTTTCTTTTCTTTCCTCCACACAGGAGAAGAGGGGGTAGATGAAGGTAGCTCTCTCACCATGTTTAGAGAATCTTTGCCAGTCTCAACATCCCATCTTCTAATAGAATGATCCCATGATGCTGAATAAATTGTCTCGTGTTGCGGCCAGACTAAAGAAGAGACACATTGTGTGTGCCCCACAAGAGTAGATACAGCCTCCTCCTACACACGAAAGTTGGTCAAGAATTCGGAAACAGACATTGTCCTTGAAAACAATCTTAAAAAAAATTTTATTCATTCTCTTATCACTAGAATATACAAGTACCTCAGATTGAGGTTCCTCATCTCCGCGACTTTTTTTCCTCTTCACTGAAACTATATCCCCTCCAGCATCAGAACCATTTGCCCGCCACAAGTTGATTGCAGAGTCCCAGGAACCCGAACACAGCTAAAGCAAACAGGAAGTTCATGGTAAAGGCTTCCTAATCCATCTACGGGCAATATATTATTGTGAACAAAAAAATTTAGGAGAAACGAGAGATACCATCTCCCCAGAAGGCTGTGAAGCAATGCTCTGCACAGCAGCATTATGACCTTTTAATATCTTAAATGCTCGTGTCTTTTTTGGTTGAGCCAACTCTCCTGCATCAATCTTTCATGCAAAATGGATAGCTATCAGAAAATGCGATTTAAAGTGGCAGAGATCAACTCCTATTTCTAGCAGAAATGTATCTAGGTATCTTTCAAGTACCTTCCATAACCTAAGAGACCTGTCTTTAGAAGCAGTAGCTACTAGATTGAAAGCATTCTCAACTGCAGAGAAAAAGAAAAATCTACATCAACAGACATAAGAAAAAGTGGCAAGGATGCTATCAAATGAATTATATCCAGAAATGACTGTGTAACGAAAAATACAAAACTTTGTCTTGGGAAAGAAATAGTCTACAATACTAATACTTGGAATTTCCATGTATTGTCAATCATCGTTTGAGGGGCAAGGTGACTGTTGTCTGTTTCAAAAATTTCAAGTTCTACTGAAGTTTGAATGACCAACACCAATTAAGATGACCAAAAGGGAGGATGGGTAATTTTTAAAACCCCTGAATTTCAAAAACTTTTAAGCCATTTCAACAACCCAGCAAACTTATAGTAGACTCTACAAGGTCGTATTTGCATTCAAATTCACATTGTCCTAAGCAGAACCACTCAGTCTTAGGTCCACCCCTGTGTAAAGCAACCCTCCTAAATTACGATGGAACATGAATTCAGGAAAAGAGACTACGGACTTGTAATATGCTATATCACAATGTAAAGACTTAATATATCATAAAACATATTTTTATAAGAGCTCCTGGAACAAGATTTCAATTAGATAATCCGCCAAATCATATTTGAGAATATTAATCACAGTATAGCGGCATCTGATATCACTTAGTTCTTGAGAAAAAACCAGACATAATTGTTAAACAAAGAGATGTAAAGATGATATTCATAAGCTACAACCAACCCTATGGAGAAAACATGCACACATAAGAACACAATGTTTATCAAAATAACAATATCAAAGCAATATTGATTCAGTAATTAGTTCATAAAGGAATTTGACGTCTACTAGATTTTTGCAATATATAACCAAGTGCCTACTGTGTAAGGTAAATAAAATATGTGAAATCAGAATATCACAATAAACTTGCTTATTGGGAAATCAACTTATACCTTTTAGCTTGATGACACAAACTGAAGTAACGGGACCAGTATGCCCTTCTAATACATGTGTACAAATTCCAGCATCTTTCCATATCCTAAGAGGTATCAGCCAAAATCAATTGAGACATCAAATTCTCGGTCATAAATAATTACATAGAAAAGTACAAGGATTTATCAATTGACATTTATATACTTTTACCTTCCCAAACCATCATAGCATCCAGTCAAAATGTACCTGTCACATAAAATACAGAGAGGTTCACCATATTGCTTATCTGCATTCGTGTATTAGGGAAGGCAGAGATGAATCCTTCCCCAAATTAGTATTTAAATGAGGAAAAATAACATGAAATTAATATTTTGAATGTATAAAAACCATAATCATTATGTTCTGAAAGGTAGAAAATAAAATGGCAATGACAGCAATGCAGGTTTAAATCCTACCCGTCATGTGATCCATCGGCGGCACTAACCCAATCATCATGTAAAGAAATATCTTCTCTTCTCGGGGCCACAACTTTGACGTATTCAATTTCTATCACTCTTTCCTGCAGAATGTCAGTGACCATAGTTAAAAAGGAAAAAAGGTAACATGATCAAAAAAAAAAAAAAAAAAAAAAAAAAAGAAAAAAAAAAGGACAAAATATCATGCTGGCATCATCAACTATGAAAGATGAAAACACTTGTATCCCTAGAAACAAACTCCTGGTACTCAAACACTTAGATCGATTCAATTCACCTTCCAAACATTAAACGCTCAATTCATTTATAAAGCTATACGTTTTTACTTTTGGGTTAAATTCTTGGTTAATAAACTAGTACAAATACACATTACAGAAACTGACATACAATTTGGTAGTTCAATAGCTCTATGAAAAAACACCAAACACCACTTCTTAAAGAGTCTTACAGCAGAAATGCCTTTGGCAACAAGAAAATCTTCAAGCGATATTCGAAGAAATTTTCCATCGATTAGAAAATCAAAAGGCTGGTACTGCCAATCGTCAAAGCCTGTACAACAATGGAATAAAAATCATATACAAAAGCAATATAATTTAGGCGCTTCAAGTCTGGCAATAAAAAGCAAGCAAATTCAACAATATATCACTACCAAGAATTCCAATCCCCCAAAACCTACTTTACTATGTAAATAGCTAATTCCCTATAGTACCCAAACTGTTTTCTTTATCAGTATTTCCTAAAAGAAGTAAAGCTACTTTTTTGTTTACATAATTAACATTTTTCTTACTTTCAAGTTAAAAAAAAAAAAAAAGTTTCATTTTTCAAAGTTAACTGCTATATTACTGTCAAAACATTTGGATAATTTACCTTTTTTGGTACTTATAAATTAAAAAAGTCATTTTTCTTGAAGATAACTCTGGCATTACTGTCAAGATACACAAGTTACTTCTAAATTTCACCAGTAAAATATTATTAGTTTTAAAAACTCCTTTTTTCTTAGAGGAAAACCTTTAAGCTTAATAAAACATGCTCTTTATTACAAAATAAAAAACGAAGAAATCGAAAAAATAAAGTAAAAGGCATAAAGAACAGTACCAGCCTCGAGGATATTGTTGACTATATCGGAAAGGCGCAAGCGGGTGATATTCGTGGGAATGGCAAGGGTAGTTGGAGGCGCTTTATATGGTGGCTTTAACTTTGTTACAAATCGGACTTGCACCTGCCTCGACGACTCTTCTACGCCGTCAATATCCATGTTCGTCTACTTGTGTGAAGTGCGTCCGGTACTGTAGTCCAGATAAACACGGACGGTGGTGGCAGGTGGCGGAGGAGGCAGAGACTAGGGTTTTGAGATGGGGGAAGTGGCCAGGGTTTTAACTGTATTTTGATTCTATGACAAAATCACAAAACCCAAATTTTAAGAAAATTGGCGCAAATGTTCCATACCTATGCCCATCTTGCGGTTTTTTGTCCCAAACCTTTAAATTCTAAAACTGAAGTCCAAAATTGTGTCATGAGGTGCACAACTGGTCCTTTTACGTGAATTCCATCCAAAATGACCACTAGTTTTTCGTATGTAACACTTCCATTTTATTTGATTTTATCACAAGAGAAATTTTGTCAAATAGTAAATAAATAAAAAATCCTCTCTCACAACCTACCCCCGACCCCAACCCAACTCACGATGCCCCAAAACCATGTGGCTTCTCAACTCCCACCATAAGACGAGTCACAGCCTCCATCAATCACCACCATCACTATCACCAACTGAATTGCAATATACATGCACCCGCTATAACAATTTCTCTCTCTTTTTGTTGTATTACAATTGCAATCCAATTAGTGGTTTTGGTTGACAAATGTCGTGTGTAGTGAAAGAAGACCTAAGGTTTTGGAGCTTGGTGAGTAGCTTGAGTTGGCATAGGATTGCATGGTGGGGATGGTTGTCAAAGAAGATGATTAAGACTTGAGAAATTTTCCCTTATAATAAAATTAAATAAAACAAAAGTGCATTACATATATAAAAATAATAGTCATTTTTAACAAACCCATTGAAAGTGACCAATTGTGCACTCAACAACAGAATTTGGTACTTTAGTGTCAACGTTTAAATATCTAAGACCACAAACATAATTTGGGCATAGGTTTTGGATCGTTTGCGCCAATATGCTTGAATCTTATAATAAAAATTTCCTACAATAGCATTTATGGTGTGTTTAATTGGCTTTATTTTTCATTTTTTATTGAAGTTCATACGTTTGAAATGATTAATCGACATTTTTTTTTTTGGCATGAAAAATGTTTTTTAAAAGTTGGTCACGTGATCATATTTTCCTCGAAAACAAAAAATGTTTTCTTTAAAGATGGATATGTTTTTATTTTTCAAGCAATTCAATCACCCTCTTTCTCATCTATCACCTCTCTTATTTATACGTCAATAAAAAATGAACAAATATAATATTTTCTATATTGAAAATAAAATCAATCAAACACATTTAATTAATGATTTTCATGCAAATTTCATTTTTGTAACTAAACAAATCTTTAAGGTAAAGTCAAAGTTGGGAAAAGTACCAACCTTTCAAAAATTGTAACTTCAGTCACGAAACTTTATTTTAGATAGATCATCACCAATTTACAAAATTATTAGTTTATGTCACTTTTACGTGTATGTTAGTAAACTTAGGGCTTTATTCAGGTGTCTAGTGTCAATGGTTATATATAGGAAGATCTTAAAGAGATGGCATTAATGGACTAAAATTATTACAAGAAGTTAGTTTAACCTATCAGTCATTCATTCAACGTTATTTAGCAGAGTAATAGGAATATCGTAAAATTCATTAAATCCCCTAACAGCCATGCAATTATCGACTTAAATAAAATAAATATGTAACTTCGGTGATCATGTGTGTTAAAACAAAAGTTCAATAACTGAATTTGCACATTTTGAAAGTTAGGTGACCAAAAAAAATTTAACCCAGCTCAAGGTGTTAAAGTGGCCAAGTCATGTCACTCGTCTCATCCACCTTCGAGCTCAGTTCTACCCACCTATTTAGTCTACTCATGCTTGCAAATGGGATGAGCCAAGCTGGCTCGCTTCAAAAACCTCTGCTCAGCTCGAGGCGAGCAATTCGCAACTCGCTCATTTTTTCTAGAAAGCTAGGAATTGTATTTTCATCCCTCGAAGTATGATAAAGACATGAATTTGTGAAAAAATTGCAAACGAAAAAGATTCTGTTTTGTCAAAATTATTATAAAGTTGTAAAAATCCTACCCTTCTATTTAAATTTGGGATTGGCTACATAAATATATGTGGAGTTTAAATAGTACTTGGATTCATATTCTTGTAAAATTTTTGTTCCGAAAAATGGAATAAAATATATTTTAATAGAAAATAAAAAGAAACAAAATACTATTTTCAATACTACTTCATTGGTCTACAGTTGCAAAATTGTAAACATCCCTAAAGCTTCCTTCATCTATCTTCTCGAGGTCACTGGCACTCACAAACACATAATCCTATTTGGGTTGTAATATTAACACATGGTTTTTCATTATGAACCTTACGTCTATAAATGTTGATAAAGTTGTGGATATTGCAATAAGTCCATGTTGTGCACTTATCGAACTATATTACTAAACTTTTATGTCGTCAAATTATTAATTCCTATTTAACTTGAGTTAATTTTCTTTTATTTTTAGTTATGGACTCATTTGAAGAACTTGGAAAGGGAAGAAGGATAAATTGGTCATTTGATGGAAAGTTTGGGGGTAAAATTTTACATTTTAGGAGTTGAGGGGGCTTGAACTGAATTAAAGACGACATGGGCTAAAAAATAAATTTATATCGAGGACTAAATTTCATTAAAGGAAAAAAGTGGGCCTTGATTAGAAATATCTCACTAATTGGGCTTCAAACTAATTTGAAAAGGGAAAAATACATAAATGCAATGTTTTAAATATACAATTTCACTTCTAACAAACTTACAAAAATATTTCAAAATTCAGGTTATAATTATTATTTTTGAAAATATATAAATACCATTCCTTTCTTTTCTCTCTCTAGCTGTTTCATTTCTCAGCAGAATACCACTTCTCTCTCTAATTTTTCTCTCTAAAATTGTTCCATTTTTCCAGTCAAATGGATCTATAGGTGGTGGAAAATCCGACAACGTCCTCCATGACTGGCATTTCATCCATCGTTTATCTCTCTAAACACACTTTGTTGAACACACGGTTGCAATTACAAAACTCTAATTGTCTCATCTAAATCTTCATCAACTCCTAGCAGAAAAAGTGCAGTAACTTACAACTAATACTCTTTTCTTAATGGCTGCTGTGACAACATGAACACACATTGGGACTAGAGATGGGGATAATCCTTCTAGGATAAGAATATAATTGTTTGAATTTGTAGGTGGTAGCAATGTCTTCCTCTGACAGCCTATTTTTATATAGAACGATACGAGGGAGTGCCCCAATTATTAAGAATCTCAATTGGCTTAATATGTTGAACAAGTATGGTTAAAGCTTTCGGTAGTCTTATGGTATTATACAGTAGCTCGTTGCTCAATTTTTGGATGGTGGTGTAAAGAGGATAAGTACTGTAGTGGTGGAGGAGAGAGGAGGAATAATTGTTTTGATTTGTCTTTCGTTTCTTTTCTTTTTATGGAGGAATCATTAAAGTAAATAGACAAGCAGCATGCACAATTGTGTTGATAAATAAAATGAATAATTCAAAGTACTAATATTTATAGATAGGGAATGGGCTAATACCTATTGAAGTTGGATCCTTCAGCACACTCGATTATTAGTTGTGACTTAACAGTTGTGTAATTTGTGATTTATTATGTGACTGTAATCATTCAAATAATAAAAATAGTGATTGTGACAAGTGAATTGCATGATTTGTGACTAATAAATAATTAGTGACTCACTCGTTGTGATTTATGATTAAATATGTAATCGTGATTCATAAATTGGATGGTATATGATTGCAAGTTTGTGTGATTTGTGATTTAGTATATGACCATGGCCAATAAATTGTATAGTATGTGATTGTGATTATTTAACTTCAATTGTAGGTCACAATATTTATTAGATGTCACATAAGACTTAATATATAATTGTGACTTATAAATTATGTGATATGTGACTGTGATCTTGTGTGATTTGTAATTTAGAGTGTGACTATTACCTGCAAATTTTATGGTATATGGCCGTTACATGTTTAATTTCAATGATAGGTCACAACATTTATTAAAGGTCACATGTGACTTTATATGTGACTGTGTGGCATGTGCTGTGATTTTGTGTGATTTGTCACTTAATGTGTAACTGTGATCAATGAATTGTATGGTATGTGACCGTGGCCTATTTAATTTCAATTATAGGTCACAACATTTTAGATGTCACATATGACACATGTAATTGTGTGGTATGTGAATGCAACCTTATGTGGTTTGTGACCATGACCAATAAATTGTATAATATGTGAGAAATGTGACCACCTATGATTTAATTAAACATGTTATGATTACAATAAGGCATAATTTGTGGTCATGTACACATGTCAATTACAATATCAAGTAATTTATGGTTACAATTACTTATGAACTACAAGTCAGAGAATGTCACGATCAAGAATAAAATGTGGATCACAATTGTAAATTTAGTCACAAAACCTATAATTTGATTGGTCACAAATAATTAATCAATCACAAAATTTTAAATTAATTGATTACAATTTATATATAGATGGTCACAATTACTCAATAATTGGTCACAATCACCTTTCATCCCGCCACACTCTACCCCCACCATCATTGCCATCGCCATCGTTGCCATTGCCTAGTTATTCCCTTGACACATACCACAACATTTCTATTAGTCACAAACCACTATAACCATGAGAACAAACTTACAAATTCACCTTTTAAGAGAATTCCCAATCTAAATTCTAAGGCAGAATCATTTTGCCTTACCATATCCTATTTACATTTCATATGAACAGATAGGACTTTTCACGTTGAACCGGTTGCCAAATATGTGACAATGAATCGTCTTAAAGAAATTCCAACCTTTATGAGATCTAGTATTGCTGCCGCCCACATCACCAACTATACTGCTCACCATCACCATCGTCGTGTTCAAACCAACTTTGCCCATCATAGTATCTTAAAGTTGTGAATTGCGCAATGATAAGAAGATTGCTATTTTTGAGGTTAAAAAATTATTAAAACTCAACCTCCAGTTTTGATTTTCGGCCGTCATTCACTGCACGGTTAAAATAAATCAAAAAAGGCACCACCACACTGTCACTTGTAAGGCAATTGATTCAATGAACGAAATCAAACAAGAAAATAATTATAATTAATATTTAAA